GAGTGATGCAAGAGACAGCTGGCAGCTTTGAGAGAACAGTATGGACGTATGCCATGGGAGACTATCCCCTCAATGCCCAGAGCAGCAAGCAGGCTGCCATAGGCTGGGGAGAGGTCAGGCTGCCAGGTACTCTGGGTTATCTTGACATAATCCCTTTATCTAATCTAGAAAGGAAAGATTACGAGTAAGAGCCTCCCTACAAGACACTGCCAACAAGAAGCCCTTCCTGAGGGAGTTGCTGCCAACTTCCAGCAACATCAGGCTACTTCTTCCCTGTTGGTTTCTGCTGTCCATTCAGGTCTGCTCCTGACACTTGAAAGATCAACCAGGTCTGAAACTCAAACAGGTGGTATTGGCTGAGAACCATTTCCCAGGCATCACATTTTCACTCTTCCATTTCCAACTTATGCTAAGAAAAACAGGAAAGCAACTTCTCGCCACAGCTCCCCTGACCCCAGTTCAATGGCCTCCCCAGCCTCATTGGCTCTCCTTTTCCCTTCAGACTGCCACTGACCTTGTTCACTACCAGGAAGTTCTCAAGGGTCTTCCCATTAGAAAAGACCAGGTCCCCAGTGTCCTTCACAGCTTCCGGGAGGATCTCCTTTACTTCCTGAGCAATGACACCTGGGTGGAAATGGCACAGTAGGTCACAGTAGTCTAGGCAGGGCTCATCCTGCTGCAACTCTTTCTCTAGCCCATGGGGTTGTTGGCAGGACCCCTCTGCACTGGTAGTGATTCCAGGGCACTCCCCCACTCATCCTGGCCTGTGCAGGGCCAGCCAGAGCTCATCAGAGGATCCATGGCTTGGGCAGCCTATACACCACTGAGGTTCACCAGCAGAGGAGTGAATGAAGAATTGTGAAGGCTATTCAGTCTCGGCTAGTTCTCACATTATGGGGACGGGGTATTCACATAACCTTGCTGTAGCACACAGCTGTGTCCAGGCACCCTCTGTATCCCTGAAAAGAAGTGTGAATTTGGAGAAGCCTTATCACACCCCAAGAGAGGGGCTCTGAGCTACTTAAGACAGGTGCCATTTTCTCTATTACTCACTAAAAGGGAACTTCATTAGATGCTTAAATTTGAGGTGATTAGAAGCCCCCTCTCTCCTACCCCCATACCACACATGTCTCTACCACTCTGGGGGTTGCCCCAGGGCAGAGCTGGCAGGCATGCTATAGCTGCCAGGCAAGCCAGGGCAGTGGCATTGGGCACTGCAAACAAAGTGTCACTGTAGGTTGCAAAATGCAAGGCACAGCATTGCAGACATAAGCAGGACACCACAGTGTGCAGCAGGGGCCCTACCTGTCTCAGGGGTGTTGTCAATGCCCACAGTGGCTGCAAACTCAGGCTTGTAGTTGTAGTGTACTAGCCGCATACGGGAGATCCTCTTCAGTTGCTCTGTGGTGTCCACCTGGGACAAAACAGACACATGGAACTCATAAATTGAGAGTTGCTTCCTAAGTTCCCATAACGCTGACCCCAAGCAGCAAAATGCACTACGGCTTATGGTAATGCCTTTGCAATTGGTCTCAAAGGCATGAGGCACTTCATGAGACAGCCCTGAACTTGACTCAGACCAGTCATGTGGACAAATAGCATTTGCACTGGGGTTAGTCTCCAGTTCTTGTCACTGGATATGTTTCTTGGATAGTGAAGCCAGGAGAAGACTGAGCCCCATTGCTCACCCAGGCACAGGACAGAGACAGTTCTCATAAATATGAGACTTTATTGCATCTAGCTTTTTTGTAGAGCCACATCCAGCTGAAAGATTTTAAGAGCAGAGCAGAGCTGAGCCTTTCATCCAGGCTCTTTCAGGTCTCAATGTGCTGACTGAGGTATTCAGATGTTTCCAGGCTTGCCACTTCTGCAATTTCTACTTCTGGCTAGCAGTGGAACAGTCAATACTCCCTAGGACGCACTGGGCAGTCTGTGTTTGGGACAGATAGGAACAGCTGCGCTTCTGAGGTATTTCCAGTCTGGTCAATAGAGGCAGCTCACAGCCTCTCCAGAAAGACTATGTTACTGTCAAAATCGTCAGCTGAAAGAGGCTCACAAGGACACTCACACTGTCTGTGGTACCTCTTCGGGTCCTCAGTCATTCTGAGCCTGGCCCCGTTTGCCCAGCTCTTACCTCCTGGATGTCCTCCTTCACTCGGATGTCTGAAGGGTGCATCAGCGAACCCATGACCTTCACATTGCCATGGACCACGAGGGCTTCATCAGGGCGGTCTGTGTTAATGCCAACTCGGCCGTGGTGAAAGACAGTATCAGGGAGTTGTGCCCGCTGCCAGAGCACATCACTATCACTCTCAAACTGGCCAGGGTTTGAGGCCTGTAGAGAGACATGAAAACAGGGACTGGAATGCAGCAGTAACAAAACAAGGAAGAAAAACACTCAGGTGCTGCTAGGCAGCAGCATTCTGAGATATGGAGAGAGTGAGGACTTCTGGAGGGACCCACAGACCCAGCCCACTAAGCACACGCCAGAGAGACCGGACAGCAGGAGAGGCCACGGAAAATAGATGCACATTAGACAGCCACAAGCTGCCATGGTGGCCTGAACAGTACCAGGCACCCCATTCCAGTAAAGTGTCATCCCCATTAGTGTGGTGGGAAAACAGCTGCAAAACAAAGTTGGGCATAAATAGAAACACCCTGAAGATACAGCTGTGTCCTTGTTTTCCAGAAGGGAACCAGGGATGGGGAAGATCTCAGATAAACTGGGACACCTTGATCCAGGTGGTCTGAGAAGCAAAAGGCAGATTTGGGGATCAAGGGCTTGGGATCCTGGCAGAGCTGCCCTCTCCAGCCCTCAGTGAACCTGAATTATGACCCTGTGATGACTTTGAGGCTGATCTGTGGCTCCAGCCTCACAGGAGGGACAGCAGGGAGTTAGACAGACAGGCAAGGTAGATCCAGCAGAGGATGAGCAAGGCCATGGAGATATGAGACAGAGCTTTGCAGCAGTACAGAGTGACAGGGGTAGAGCTCCACTGCCAGTCCTAGCAACAGATCCTAGCTTGCGCTTACAACAGAGGCAGCCTTTGCATTCATCTGCTGGCCTTCTATAAGTGTCTCTCCACAGGAACCAAGGCTGTGCCTGTTGTTGTGCCTGCTCTGCTCCTCTCCCTAAAGGTGCAGACCTGCTTTCTTGAGATGTCTGTTATCTCAGTTTTCAGAGCTGTTCTAATGACCTCAACAACTCCAACCAGAACTGCATAGCTTTTCTCCTAAGGGCTGGGAGTCACCAAGTCTACAGGAGGAGACAGTATATGACATGGCTGTTGCTCCTGGGCCTAGAATCCTGACGTCTTGCCCCACTACAATAGTTTTCTGCAGGCCCTGCTGTACCTGTGACCAACTCATGGGTTGAACTGGACAGTCCAGGCTGTCTGCAGTTCCCTAAGGTTTTGTGCTGGGTATCCTGGAGGCTGCATAATTCGCCATGTACTTACTTGTCTGCAGACTCTAAGGTCCCCGTCTGTCCTCTGCTTGTGTTTTACCCCTGCACCAGCCCTTTGCTAGAGGAAATGGATAAGCACTTAAAAGGCTGCAGGGCAGACACAGCCCATCACAACTTCACAGCCTGTCCTGCAGAAGCCACAGGCTCCTGTCTTCAGGCCTCATGCCTGAGAGCTCTCTCAAAAGAGTGCTGGGAGTCTGGGGGTGGCACCTTTCTTTTCCTGCTCCTATGCATTCACATTTGAGCACTGCTGTCTTAGCATTTGCAAGAGGTGCAGCCCTGGGAAGGCATGCCAGTCTTCCCTGTGCTTGGAGGCTTGTCCCTACTGCAGAATCCCAACAACATCGACTGGTCCCACACTCCAAACAGATCTACCCTTGGACATCTGTCCAAACTTGGGAGAACAGATCGCCTTCCCTGTCCATGTCTCCCTGCAACAGACTCTTGCATGCCTTGGGGCTGCTCTGATTAGAGCACATCGGATTAGCAGGAGC